TAATACAGCACCAGGATGGACTCCTGAAACAAAATGAAATGGGGCATTTATAACATGTCTTGAATTATGACACTTCTGAACGAAACTTATGACCACTGGCGTGTAACAACTCTGGAAAAGAACAAGGCTGCCTTGTAGCACCAGCACACTATTAATCAGCCAGGGTGGGAAACTGTATGTGGTAAGTGGTGGGATGAGGTGAAGTGATTCCTTGGCTGCACAGACTCCCTGTCAGTGGTCTAACATACAACCTGGCAGAGATTTCCTATGTGTAACTGCAAAATGGCAAAGTAAACTTTCCACTTCTTTCCAAGATATTCCTCATTTAAATCAAAGGAGAACCTTCTGATCCCATCATATGCCAGCCATGAGGTAGTGACAGTCGCAGAGCTGCTTCATTGGAGAGAAGTCAAGGATGTCTTACACTATAGCAGCAATAATTCTGTTTATGCCTATAGTATTCCTAAAATGTACCAGGTATAAAACAACCTGAAGCACTCAAATTTGCATGGGCAGACAAGGCAGAAAGGAATATGAAGAAAAAAGAAAGCTATTTAATTTTACAGTGGGCTTTTTCACACTATCCAATTACAGTTTGCTATTTTATCATTAGTAAGTCAGAATGAAGTGCTTCAGGAAACTTTTAGATGTTCTCCCTCATAATATTTTTCCTTTTGGGATTCAAGTCTCACTTCTCTGAAATTCCATATGACTGAAAAAGACTTGAATGAAGACTGAGTAGTAGGACTTTTTTCTTTAGTTTCTTCTTGTTCACTGTTGTACTGTTCTATCCTTTTAAGAAGAAGGACAGGTGGACAGAAGGACAGAAAGGAAACACTTGCCTGTTTGTCAGACAGCTGAAGTGCTAAAGAGGCATATTACCCAAGGTCTTCTGGTGGCACAATGAATCAGATCACCATATGGAAAGAACAGAATACAGTAGTCAAAATGTGAAAATAGTGGGGTAGCTAGGAGTAGGGAGTAGCTACAGTAGGATAATGTGGAGTTTGGTCTGAGGAAATAGCTTCATGGTAATCACCTTTTTTACATTACTTGATTTTCTTTGCACTCTTTAACAGAGAGATGAGGGAGCTATAAAGTATTTTTAATCCACAGCACTCTGAGGCACCGTGTTCCAACTGGTTAGTTATGGATTTTGTGAAGAATTGCTTTTTTATTTGGTCTGATACTATTGCCTTGTTTGATGCTCCTTGTATCTTGTAATAGAAGACTCAGAATATAAATTTCTTATATACCTTCTCCGTGCCATTATTCCTTTTATGACTTTAATCCTTCACATTTTCCTCTTTTCAGGGTTTAGTTCTAATTCATTCCTGTATGGACACAGTCATGTGTCAGCATCCTTGCTATCTTATATACCTTTGTCTGTATATGTTTATTCTGTGATGAGGAAACAGAAGTATGCATGTTATTCAAGATGTGTGCCTCATGGATTAAACACAGTCATTATAATGCCTCTAAAGTTTCATTCTCAGTTCCTTTCCTAATACCTAAAAATATAATTGGTATTTCTCTATAGTACTATGCACAGAACTTACTATGAAAATACACACTGTGTTCTATGCTATCCCTTCCTGTAAGGAGCCATTGCTATAAAATACTGGAATAGATAACTGGCATATTCCACATACACTAGGCCTACCTACCACCTCATCTCTGCATGGCTTCAGTCATTAATTCATACAATGTCTCTGTGTAGCCTCCATTAGTTCCAGTAATAAGCATGATAGCTAAATTGAAGTGCCTGTTACTTGATGAAACCCATCTCAAGCTAATCCAGGAATTCTGTGTGAACCAGTAATACCTAAGGTTGATCATCTGGGTTAAGGTTTACCCTTAAGACATGCTCTTCAATAACCTCTTCACATGGAGTCCAGAAAGGACATGCTAGAGAACATTCAGCCAAGACATCTGGCAATGCTTTTGTGAAGACAAGAGTTAAAAAGCAGGACCACAACTCAGTGGTACCTGTTAGCTCTGCAGAAAGCCTATCTGAAGTTGTAGAATTAGAAGCAAAAGTTAAAATGAGGTCTTGAGTTAAAATGAGTCTAATTAGATGAAATCTACCCTTAACTGAGGAAACACTTTAAACTCCACTTGAATATAGAAATATTTGTTTCTAGACTCTCCTGCTTGCCTTATAAAGAGCTTTACTTTACCTCTGCCCTGGAGAGGAATGGAATCCAAAGGCTATGTCTATTTCGTGCACTTTTGCTTTGTCCAGAAGAGGAGGTTTGTTTAGAGGTCATATTTCTTTACAGACCGCCTTTTACTTTTTGTTGTTAAAAGAAGAAACTGTGTTTGTTCCAAGTCCATCTGACAACTTTTTTCCTGATTTGTCCAAACGAAAAAGGAATAGAAGGAGTTGTCATTATCAAGACAAGAGAGTCTGAGGGATGAATCCAGCTGTTGGTATAACTTGAGGGCTGAAACATCACAATATAAAGTAGATAACAGTTTATCCTTCTGCAGTGTGACTAAGTGAAATAAGATCTAGGCTTCGATGGTCATTTCCCACCAATCTTCTAAAATCTCCATTAAGAAGAATAGGAAGCTATTGTTCTGACTCATCAATATACAACATTGCTACTGTTTTACAACATTTGCACAAAAAATTAATATTATCCCTTGATACTTGATGTGAGTAAACAGGTCCAGTGTCTACCATACTGCCTCAATAAGTATAATACAGTGGTTGTACTAAAACAAGTCCCTTGGCTTAAGGAGGAATCCTTTTTCATTAATATGTTCAGCCTAACTTATTCCTAACAGGGAAAATGAGGATTCCCTAGGGTAAATTGTAGACAGCATGAAGTAGTTTATGTCAGCCGTTATTCTCATTGCTTACCCACTGCAAAAGGCATTTGGGAACTTGGACTGAAGCTAGAGAAAAGATTCAGGCCAGAATATATATTGCATTACTGAAAGAGTTCAAGTTGATCCAGGGTACAGCAGCCCTGAACCACTCTTGTCTGCGCTACCACTTAGGTATGCTGATTAAGAGCCTGGCAGAGCCAAGCTTGAAGCCCAGGTTCTGGACAGTCAGTATAATTGTCTCAATTTCAGAAGTGTTTGCAACGGGGAAGACCAGTGCTCAATAAGGAACTAGCCTGGCAGTTACTTAGATATTCGGCATATGGCATTTCTATTTCCAGTTGCCAAGGTATGTCTGAAATGTATTTTCTGTGTCATTCTGTGGTAGGAAGGAGAACATATTCATAGACCAAGCATCCATACCTTGTTATCCATGCACATACAGAACTTCTGACTAAGATTACATGTGTAAATTGGCAATTTCAATCAGGTCATTTCAGTTGAAGATCCTACGTGCACTTGTGCATAACTGTGCTAGACATCTTTCTTAAGCATCTCTAGTATAAGTGAGTTTTGCAGTGTCTGCAGTTGGGTAGACAGCCCAGCAACATGGGTTTTAAAATATGAATTCAACATGTTATTTGTTAATGCAAATTTCACAGATTTTTATTTCTATATGTTGCTTTTCCACTTATATGCTGATCCCTTTCTCAGTTTGTTTGGTTTTGGTTTTGTTTGTTTGTTTGTTTGTTTGTGGTTGTCCTGGTTCAGCTAGGATAGGGTTAAGTTTCCCCAGCAGAGAAGGGGGAAGGGATCTCCAGGAGGGTTATTCACACCATGCTGAAGTCAGGTCTGGCCTCAGGAGCATGGGAATTTTTTCCTTGGTGGCTTTGGTGAAGAGGAGCACACGGTGAGCTGTCTGTAACCATTGCTGTATTTCTCTGTATATCTTTTGTCTTGTTCACTGTTATTGCTGTTTATTGTTGTTATCGTTGCTACTGTTGTTGTTCAGATTGCTTATTACACTGTTGTGTTAAATTTCTTCTTATTTTAACCCGGGGTTTGTGCCTCACTGCCAGCCCGACCGGCTGAGGGGGGGTGGGGGGTGGGAGAGGCAAGCAGGGCCTAAGCCAGCACAGTGGTCAACAAAGTATTCTGTTCTAATGTACAAGATAAAATGGAGGAGATGTCTGTGGTTTGGAAGCGTAGGTAGCTCATGAGAATTAATGTGGTAGAACAGACTGTTGTTGTTTGCAACAAACATAGTATAGAACTTCAAAAACAGTGCTTGGATTTAAATTTTGTTTTAAAGTTTGTCCAGAAAGACAGAATGAAACTTGGTATGTGTATCTTAGCTTTGATACCATTTGGAATGGTGAAGGGAGAGGTGACGCAGGTCCCATTTCCCCATGCTGATTATTAGCCCAGTATTGGGAGACTCCTTCACACTATGAAAGTGCCTCCTGCTCCTAGCCCTCCCATCATAGGCAGTGCAGGCACATCACAGCAGAGAGAAAAGTGAAGATACCAGGCTGTTTTGTAGTTACTCTCACTGACAGACTGTCTTCTGGGAACTCTTGCCAGCTGGCAGAGGTTAGAGTAGTCTACAGGTTGCACTAACATGTCCAAAACTGAGAACAGAAAAGTAGGGAGCACAGCCAGCTCCCTGATGGCCTCCTCTTTCTGCTTCACTGAAGCAGATAATGTAACGCTCAGCACTTGTGTCAGATGTAGTCTGAAAGGATGGCTCCTGGTGCTGCTGCCATTTCATTACTGTTCCTCTCAATAACAGATAGAGACCATGATCCCAAGAGCAGCAGAGTGCCATGAAGTGCTTTGGAGGAGCTGATAGGCCCCATCTAAGTTTTCACATGGAGTTAAAAAGTTGTTGGCTTCACAGGAAATAAAGTTCTGTTACTACATCACCACCAGCTAAAGGTAATGTGCAGACATCAACTGCCAGAGTCCCTGTTTTATACAGGAGCTTTTAAATGAATTCAAGGCGATTCTAACTGCTCTTCAAACAAATTTAATATCTAAATACCAGACAGATAGCATATCATACTTCCATATGGTCCAGAAGCAAAGGCAGTTCAGCCTAAAACTCATTTGCAGACATCTGTAAAACACATTGCTATGGAATGACAATAGAGGTGATCCATAACTTGAAGTGGGCACTTGTTCTTTATTATGAAATACAGATATAGTGACACAAAACATTGCTTTCAACTGTGCTCAATGCAGGCTAAAAACACAATATAACTGCATGCCAGACACTGATTTTCTGTTGCCAGTGAACATCTGCTTGATATACACAGACATCTTGTGATTAGGGTCTGCTCAGTAGCTAGACCAGCAAATGAAAAGGGGTGGAGGGGAGGAGGACGAACAAGCTTTCTTTCTGCAAGTAATAAACAAACCATAAATGTGTTTATTTCCATAAAGAGTGGAAATAAAGATTCAGAGTTCAAAAGGTATTCGCTTTCAGCACATTTCTTCATTGGAGCTGGCTGTTTACTTTTCATTGGCAGTCATCTATAACGGAGTGTATTTTCTGGAGGAAAGAGATTTTCATCTGCTGAATTTAAAGACCTAATGAATAAGGAAACAACATGCATATTAATTTATTATATGCATGAATGACAAACAAGCTGACTTATTAAACTAATTATCCAAAGGAGTACAGAATAAAAGTGTTGTAATCCATTGTTCTTAAGAAATGTTACATCTCACCAGGGTTTTTTTAATCCTCTAATTCCTGTGGGTTGTAATTTCCAGTTTCAGAAACATCTCCGTCAGCTCTGTACGTCACTGCAATAAAATCCAGTTGGGGCCAGATCTTACCATGATCCCTGTTAATGTTCCTGAGTGACAAGTATCAGTGCTGCTAAGCAAACTGGACACCATCTCCATTTTGAAGGTCCAAACCAATGTATTTCAGGAAGTATAAAAAACAAAATAAGTGTCTACTGCAATCTGCTAGCTAATTTATACATCTTGCACTTGCAAAGACATATTAGCTAGCTTATTTTCCCTTTGGGTTTGTTTATTACACATTTTGGAAAGAGGACAAAAAATTTCCAGTTAAGGCATTAGTTAAAATTAGGAAGTAGGCATTTAGTTCAGAGATCTGCTGAAGATTCCTAACCGCAGTTTATAAGTACATCAATTTCCTCAGTTAAATAACTGAGAAACTCTTTTTCTAGTCTCATTTCTGCCTGAAGCATTTTTACCACTTGAGAAGATGTTACCTATAAAGCCACAAGGGAGTCTTTCATTTATCTAGTATGTCTTGCCATATAAAAAGGCCAAAAGAGCTTCCTGAATTAATTCCTGTAAGAAAAATATTTTATTTTTTAGAAATTCTAGAAGCACCTATATCAATCACAGAAACACGGAATCAGCTAGGTTGGAAAAGACCTTGAAGATCATCTAGTCTAGCCATTAACCTAACACTGACAGTTCCCAGCTACACCAGATCCCTCAGCGCTATGTTGACCTGACTCTTAAACACCTCCAGGGATGGGGACTCTGCCATTGCCCTGGGCAGCCCATTCCAACGCCTAACAACATGTTCTGTAAAGAAATATTTACTTACATCTAGTCTAAACCTTCCCTGGTGCAACTTGAGGCCATTATCTCTTGTCCTATCGCTTGTTACTTGGTCAAAGAGACTCATCCCCAGTTCTCTGCAACCTCCTTTCAGGTAGCTGTAGAGGGTGATGAGGTCTCCCCTCAGCCTCCTCTTCTCCAGACTAAACACCCCCAGTTCCCTCAGCCGCTCCCCGTACGACCTGTGCTCCAGACCCTGCACCAGCTCCGTTGCCCTTCTCTGGACTCGTTCAAGTCATTCAATGTCCTTTTTGTAGTGAGGGGCCCAAAACTGAACACAGGAATCGAGGTGCAGCCTCACCAGTGCCGAGTACAGGGGTAAGATCCCTTCCCTGTCCCTGCTGGCCACGCTATTGCTGACACAAGCCAGGATGCCATTGGCCTTCTTGGCCACCTGGGCACACTGCTGGCTCCTGTTCAGCCGGCTGTCAATCAGCACCCCCAGGTCCCTCTCTGACTGGCAGCTCTCCAGCCACTCCTCCCCAAGTCTGTAGCGCTGCTGGGGGTTGTTGTGGCCCAAGGGCAGCCCCCGGCATTTGGCCTCATGGAAACTCCTCCAGTTGGCCTCAGCCCATGGCTCCAGCCTGTCCAGGTCTCTCTGCAGAGCCTCCCTACCCTCGAGCAGATCAACACTCCCACCCAACTTGGTGTCATCTGCAAACTGACTGAGGGTGCACTCGATCCCCTCGTCTAGATCATCAGTAAAGATGTTAAACAGGAGTGGCCCCAAAACTGAGCCCTGGGGGTCACCACTCATGACCAGCTGCCAACTGGATTTAACTCTGTTCACCACAACTCTTTGGCCCCAGCCATCCAGACAGTTCTTTACCCAGCAAAGCGTGTGATTGTCCAAGCCTCGAGCAGGCAGTTTCACCAGGTGAATGCTGTGGGAAACAGTGTCAAAGGCCTTGCTAACGTCAAGGTAAACTGCATCCACAGCCTTTCCCTCATCCAAAGAACAGGTCGCCCTGTTATAGAAGGAGATCAGGTTTGTCAAGCAGGACCTGCCTTTCACAAACCCATGCTGACTGGGCCTGATCCCCTGGTTGTCCCTCATGTGTTGTGTGACAGTATCAGGATGAGCTGTTCCACCAGCTTCCTGGGCACTTGAAGTCAAGCTGACAGGCCTGTAATTTCCCAGATCATCCTTCCCACCCTTCTTATACGTGGGTGTCACACTGACCAATTTCTAATCTATCAGGACCTCCCCGATCAGCCAGGACTGCTGGTAAATGATGGAATGCAGCTTTGGCGAGCACCCCAGCCAGCTCCTTCAGCACCCCCGGGTGTATCCCATATGGTCCTATAGACTTGTGTGTGTCTGTGTGATGCAGCAGGTCACTGACTGTCTCTTGGATTGCAGGGGGGTCGTTCTCCCAGTCTCTGTCTTTTGTCTGAGGAAGCTGGATTCCCTCAGTAGAACTAGTCTTGTTATTAAAGTCTGAGGCAAAGGTGGCATTAAAGCACCTCAGCCTTCTCCTCATCACTTGTTACCATGTTTCCTCCTGCTTTTAGCAGGGGATGGAGACTCTCCCTGGTCTTTCTTTTGTTGCTGACATAGAAACATTTCTTGTTGTCCTTGATTGCTGAAGTTTAATTAATTTCCAGCTGGGCTTTAGACCTCCTGATTTCCACCCTGCATAGACTCACAGCCTCTTTGTAATCACTGTGAGTCTCTAGCCTCTTCTTCCAAAGGCCGCAAATTCTCCTTTTCTCCCTGAGCCAAAGCTCCCTGTTCAGCCTGAGTGGTCTTCTCTGTCACCGGCTTCTCTTACAGCACCTGGGAACAGACTGCTTCTGAGCCATTAAGAATTCCTTCTTAAAGAGCAGCCAGCCTTCCTGGACCCCTATACCCTTCAGGATTGTCTCCCAAGGGATCCTTTCAAGCAGGTGCCTAAAGAAGACAAAGTCATCTATTTGGAAGTCCAGGATGTCAGTCCTGCTTGCCCCTCTCCTGGCCTCTCTAAGAATAAAGAACACTATTATTTCATGATCGCTGTGCCCTAGTCAGCCTCCAACCACCATATCACCAACCAGTCCTTCTCTATTCACAAAGAGGAGACCCAGCAGGGCACCTTCTTTGGTTGTTTCACTCACCAGCTGCATCAGGAAGGTATCTCCCACACATTCCAGGAATCTTCAGGACTTTTCCCAGTCTGCTGTGTTGTATTTCCAGGAGATGTCTGGGAAGTTAAAGTCTCCCAGAAGAACAAGAGCAAGCGACTGTAAGATTTCTCCTAAATGCCTATAGAATATTTCACCCACCTCTCTGTTCTGGTTGGGTGGCCTATAGTAGACTCTTACTACAATATCTGCCCTGTTGGCCTTCCCCTGATTCTAATGCAAAGACACTCCACCCTGTCTTCACTACACTTGTACTCAAAGCAATCATAACAGTCCCTAACTGTTGAAGACGAAGGGAAGATCATTCTGTGCTAATGACTGGCGTTTTCATTATTCTCAGTATTTGCTTTCCCTCTAGTCTCAGTCTGGAAGTTTACCATATGGCTGGAACGATCCAAAAGAGATTGAATATATATTTATTTCATTGCTGAAAAATGCCCATATTACTGATTCCTTATGGTGGAAATCTGATATTTCTCCAGGTTCTTATGATTTGAATGCTTTTCCCCAATATCTAACCAAAATCTTCCTTTCTGCACACTGAAACCAAGTAGTCATTATCTATGTTTTTGCCCATTTCTGGTAAAAGTGTTTAACGCAATATCAGAACTGATACCTTAGCAGATAGCATTACCTGGTTTAGTAAGAAGCTATAGCCTTCAGAAGTAGGTAAATTCTATTGAATATTTTTACATTTCTAGTAAACAGACATACCTTTTTCAGAAGAGGTTTTAAATATTAAAGATCTAGCCTAGGTGTATGTATTTTTGTCATTTCAGTGTAATCTCTTGCAAAATGTATGCTACAAAACACCATTCCTCTCCTCATTAATACATTCTTCTAAGTTTATATCACAGCAATGATAGATCTTTTGTTTATAGAAATCAAGGAAATTTTGTGCTACCCCATCAGAAATAAAATGAAACATAAAATATACTTCACTGTATATCAATTACTTGACTGTTTCCAAAAGACTAGGAATGAACAGGAGAGGATTTTATTTTTCCTCTAGGAAATCTCAAGGAGATATTGAGTCTCAAAGAACATTTGTTGTCTTATAAAAAATACAGCAGGTACCTTTATCATACATAGCCCAAACTATAGACTGATAGAATGGTTTGGGTTGGAAGGGACCTTAAAGCTCATCTGCCATGGGCAGGGACACCTTCCACCAGCCCAGGTTGCTCACAGCCCCGTCCAACCTGGCCTTGAACACTGCCAGGGAGGGGGCAGCCACAGCTTCTCTGGGCAACCTGTGCCAGTGTCTCACCACCCTCACAGGGAAGAATTTCTTCCTCATATCTAATCTAAATCTCCCCTCTTTCAGTTTAAAACCACTACCCCTTATCATACCACTTCACTCCCTGATCAAGAGTCCCTCCCCACCTTTCCTGTAGCCCCCTTTAAGCACTGGAAGGCTGCTATAAGGTCTCCCTGGAGCCTTCTCTTCTCCAGGCTGAACAACCCCAACTCTCTCAGCCTGTTCTCACAGGGGAGGTGCTCCAGCCCCCTGATCATCTTTGTGGCCTCCTCTGGACCCACTCGAGCAGCACCATGTCCTTCTCATGTTGGGGGCCCCAGAGCTGGACACAGGACTCCAGGTAGGGGCTCAGGAGAATGGAGCAGAGGGGGAGAATCCCCTCCCTCGACCTGCTGGCCACACTTCTCTTGATGTAGCCCGGATACAGTTGGCTTTCTGGGCTGTGAGTGCACATTGCTGGCTCATAGTCAGTTTTCCATCCACTACTACCCCCAAGTCCTTCTCCACAGGGCTGCTCTCAATCCACTCCTCACCCAGCATGTATTTATGCTTGGGATTACCCCAACCCATGTGCAGGACCTTGAACGTGGCCTTGTTGAACTTCATGAGGTTTGCAGGGGCCCACTTCTCAAGCCTGTCAAGATTCCAATATCTTTGTATTTTTCTCCAAATGAATGCTTGGAATAAAATGAAAGATGCCAGAACTTTATACATGGTGTCCAGAATATAAAGTTCTAACAACTTGTTAGAGCATACTGCAGTGCATTTGAAAAAAATCTTAGATTTACTATCAAACATTCATCAGCCTATGTAGGATTAGTCTAAAAACAACCCATAAGAACAGCCACATGTTTTAAATATATTGCTGATATTTAATGAAATTACAAACCAATCAATGAGCATATATAATAATTACATCTAGGTATGGAGTTTTGAATTTTTCAAATTTTTGGCTTTAGCCATATCTGCACTTTTTCATGGAACATGAATAACAATTATGCACATTCAGGCAAAAAAAAATTGCTCTGAAAATAATTTCTAAAAGATTTCATACTTAGAAAAACAGCACTGCTAGAGACTTACATAGCATTCTTTTTGTTTTTAAAGGTCTAATCCAAAATCTCTTTAAAGTTGATGAGAATGTTGTTATTGAATTCCATGTGCTTGGAACTGCTGTAAATGCAAAAGAATTGCTTCCAACTGGGAAGAGAAATATTAAATATACAGACATATTAACTTACATGTGGAAATATATAGCAAGATTTTTTTAAGAAACTCAGTCTTTTAATAGACTATTTTATCAGAGCATTCTAACCAATTTCTCTTCACAAATTTCTTAATATGTGGGTAATGAAACAGTATGCTTTCCTCAGAAGAGCAGAATATAATGGATCCAATAGATAGATGACTGTTGT